TATATATATAGGCCTGAGCAGTTCCAGAGAAATAAGTAAATTTTCTTAGTTGACTTAGACTTTCATAGAAACTATTAACATTTTAAGATAAATCTTAGTAAACCACCATCTTAGCTTTATGGAGAAAGTCTTTATTAAAAGCAGAGAAAATATTCCAGGACCAGGTATGTATGCCTTGCATTATATGAACAGAGCCCAAGAAGTAGTCTTAGATATAGTCCCATTCAGACATGTCTCTGAAAGATAAGAGTGAAACAAAATCATTCCAACTGGCAGACTATGAAGCACCACATCTGGATAATGTTTGGGGTCCAGTGGGGAGAGCAACAATGGCTTGCTTGTGTTACAAATATACAGAGTCAGGGCAGTGACTCATGGGTTGACTAGTTGAGCAAATACTTGATATAAAGTGGAAGGTTAATTATATGAAAATCTAACATAGGATTATATCAATACAACTCTGCATAGGTAACTAGGATGTTCACATTCCATGCCACTTCCCGCCAGAAGGTGTGAAATCCAGAAAACTGAATCAGTAACAAGGTGGATTTATGACCTGTCCTATGGCTGTCAATTGCTTTTTCCTGACCTTCCAGAATTTGGTATAAAACTCATGTACAAATGAAAAGTGGTAAACATTCATGTGGCTGTGTCCCTGTAGTATGCCTTTTTTAAGTCTTTTGTTTATAGACCTATGAGAGGGACAGCTGTGTCAAATGGTGGTTCCATTCCCAATTTTACAAAAAATATCCATCCTGCTTTCAATATTGGTTGCACCAATTTGCAGTCCCACCATCAGTGTGCAAGTGTGCCTTTTCCCCCCACATCCTCACCAAAACTTGTTGTTTGTATGCATAATAGCTGCCATTCTGACTGGAATGAGATGAAATCTTACAGTAGCTTTAATTTGCATTTCTCTAATTGCTAGTGATGATGAAAATTTTTTCATGTATTTGTTGATTGATTATACATCATCTTCTGAGAAGTGTCTCTTCAGGTCCTTGGCCCATTTACTGATTGGGTTATTTGTTGTTGTTGTTTTTTTTATGTTTAGCTTTTTGAGTTCTTTATACACCCTAGTGATAAGTGCTCTATCTGATGTGTGAAGGGTAAAGATTTGCTCCTAAGATGTAGGCTCTCTATTCCCCTCACAGATTGTTTCTTTTTCTGAGAAAAAGCTTTTAAGTTTGAGTCCATCCTTCTTATTGATTCTTGATTTTAATTCTTGTGCCACATGAGTCTTATTAAGGAAATTGGGGCCTAATCCCACATTATGGAAATTAGGGCCTACTTACATTTCACAATAGCTAAACAGTTGAACCAATCTAGATGCCCTTCAATAGATGAATGGATGAAAAAATGTGGCATATATACACAATGGAATATTCCTCAGCAATAAAATATAAAATCATGGCATTTGCAGGTAAATGGATGGAATTAGAGAAGATAATGCTAAGTGAATTTAGTCAATCCCCCCAAAACAAATGCCAAATGTTTTCTTTGATATAAGGAGCCTGATTCATAGTGTGATAGAGAACCGGAGCATAGGTGGAATAGATGAACTCTAGATAGGGCAGAGGGGTGGACGGGAAGGAAAGGGGCATGGGATTATTAATGATGGTGAAATGTGATGATCATTGCTATCCAAAGTACATGTATGAAGACAAAAAAATTCATGTGAATATACTATGTATACAACCAGAGATATGAAATATTATGCTCTTTATATGTAATAAGAATTGTAAAGCATTCTGCTGTCATACATAATTTTAAAAAAATTGCATAAAAAAGGAACAGTGTGACTGGGATGGGGACTATACATTAATGTCCAGCATGAATTTTCTCACTGAGGTCATCTGGCTACTGAAGCTGCCAGATGCTTTATCTGTTAATAGCAATTAGCTACCCACTACTTCCTAAGAAGTCACTACTCCCTAGAGTTCTAGCTAGCCACAAGTAACAGATTTCCCTGGTCACCTTATATCTTAGAGGATGCATCAGAAGTACTTATAATTTACAAATAATGGATTTCTCCCCTTCAGTGTTGCATTGCTGCCATGAAATTCTGTGGACATAAAGAAGTTTTAGTGTAAATCATGGTAGCAATCTTAATGCTGAACATGACCAGGTAATATAGTAATAGAAAAGGAAATACAACAAGGTTCAAACTTTGCAGATTTTTATCAAGTTCTCATTAATTAATGACAATTGTTTGAGATTTTATTTAGAAGACCACACCTTAGTTATTTAAAGGTATATATTGAAGGATATTGTGTATGTTTTAAATCTAAATCATACCCTGGTATTGATGTCTTTTTATTTTACTGTGAATACATGGGTCCAGAAGTCAAGAAGTTAAAAGTGAGAATGGGGCCTCTAAGAAGTAGTCTTTACTCTTTCTCTTAGAAAATTTTGTTTTTCACTTTTATAATCTGGAGCCAGAAAGTTGAGGGTGTAGTTGTAAGGGGGAAAAATGATCTAACCCAGGATTTTGGCCACAATTTTCTTAGAGTGGAAGATATGAGTATTTTGTTATTATTTTGAGTTTCCCTTTTTCAAATAGGAAAGACATTGCTGTCTTGTGTGACTGATCCAACTATGTTGCAGAAACACATTAGGACCAGGCAAAATTATGTCTAGTATAAAACACATTATTTGGATACAACTTAATTATCTGATGTTCAGTAATAAAATACAGTAGAAAGTTGTAAGAGACGTAAAGAAGCATGTTATCATATTGATTTGGAATTGATGAATTTTGCTTAATTCTGCCAGTTAACCTTGAGCACTGGAGAAGCTGCCAGAGGACACTCTTATCATATACATGGAATGTATGTGAACAGAATAAATTACCAACTTCAGCCTCTTCTGAATCTCCAAGTTCTATGGAAGAGCTATGCAGAAGTACTTGTATTGATGTGCTCAGGCCTCTGTTTAATGGTATCTGAGACTTTCCCAACTGAATAGTTTTATGAATGACATAAAAATAAGTCTTTAAGACTTTTTTTTTAAATCTAAATACATAGTATAGTTACACTGACTAATGCAGTTTATATTACTCAGGAATTTCTACCAGGTAAAACTGCCATCTGATAATATTCAGGCAAAGAAAGAGATCAGCAGGATATTTAAAAAGGCAGGAGGAAAAAATCCAGTGAACTAGAACTGTTGAGTAGCAGTGAGTCTTATGCCAGGGTTGCCAATTTCAGGTGGAAAAAAAATGGGGCCTGAGCCTCAAAAGGGCTCAATCCCCAGAATACATAGTCTACTGCTCCCTGGAGGAATTCTAACTGCAGAAAACCACCTGATCATGGAGACAACATAAAAAAATCTTAAAATACAGTAAAGTTGTAAAACTCAAAACACATCAATGTGAATCACCTTTTAAAAAATTGTTAAAATTCATCAAATACATTTTTAGCCTTCACAATTTATTTGCATTTTCTGTAATGCATATATTCACAAAGACATACATTGCCATGTAGTTATCTTTTTAAATGGAGTAGTTTTCAATGAACTTCATTAAAACAAATAAGAATTTTAAATATTTTACTAAGCCAATGAATGCCACTTATATCAATTATATATCAAATACTGAAATGAAAAGAATTATACATGCCATTAAGTTTATAAATGTTATTAATTCAAAGATGATTCAAATATTATTATTTGCCTTTAATTTCTGTGGTTATTGACAAACATTTATTTTAACATGTTCTCATTCAAGCTGGAAGGCTCATGTATCTTTAGCATAAGAATTAATAGATGAATTAAAACTTATAGAAGTTAGAAACTGGAAACAACAATCCTAAATTCTTAGTAAATAATTTTGGCAGAAAATTAAACTTGATTATAAATAGTGATCATAAATTATGAATTATTAGTAATTTAAAATATAATGAATTAGCACTTATCAATAGTACCATCACTTAAAAATTTTATAAAATTGCTAATTTTGTTCTGTTCCTAATTATTTCTCTAAAAATGATCATTTCACCTGACTCTGAAAAAAATAATTCATGTCTTCCCTTTCGGGAGAGAGTATCTAAATCCTTACAGTAGAGGACAAACAAGAATATTTATTTAAAAAAAAAGCAGGAAAAAAGACCATGATTATCTAAATGTGTGCAATTAAAATGTTATAGACCCACCATAATATAGCATCACATTTATAAATTCATGCTGTAATCACTGTAACAATGGAGAAGCAGAAGAGTGGTTCTTTTTTTCTCTTAATTTAAAAATAAAATTGTTAACTAATTTCCTGTGGTGGTTATTTGATATGTGTGGTCTTTGGGGACTTGTGCATTTGACTCCTGATTTCCTTAAATCCATCAAATTCCATTTACACTTTGTACTTTCCCTAGGATTTGGTATATTTTTAGTCAGTCTATAAATTGATTTTTCTTAAAGAGAGAGAGAGAGAGAGAGAATTTTTTAATATTCATATTTTTTAGTTTTCGGCGGACACAATATCTTTTGTTGGTATGTGGTGCTGAAACCCAGGCCACACACATGCCAGGCGAGCACACTACGGCTTGAGCCACATCCCAGTCCCTATAAACTGATTTTTAAAAATTTAAAATTACATTATGAAAAGAACATATTTATACTTTGTAGCGCCCCTATGTCAGGAAAGTGAGAGGAAGAAAGAAAAAATGGGAAAGAAAGAATTTGACATACTCACTAGGTAATGGTCATGTTGAGATCTAGGTTTTTCTCTAAACAAGTCAGAGGAAAGGGATTTTTGTTTTTCTTTTTTTTGTGGCACTGGGAATTGAACCCAGTGCATGCTAGGCAAGCACTCTACCAATTGAGCTATATCCCCAGCCCAGAAGGGGATATCTGAAAACAGAAAGCAGAGATGGATTTTCAGTAAGCTTTTTGTGGCTAGAATCAATAGGATTTCACAATTCTGGACTTTGCCAAACTTAGAAAAGTCTGTTTCCTCTTTTCCTGATCTATTCCCTTTTTTTCTTTTTTCCTGACTTACCAATTTTTGACAAGAAAACAAACAACATTATGTGACCATGAATATAACAGTTGTTGCACAGGCCAGCAAGAATCCAATCACATCTAAAGAGTGGTACTCGAACCAGGTGAGGTGATGGGAGGCTGGCCATAGGTGCTTGGCTCCTTTGTGGTGCATGACAAACTTGGTCCAGAAGACAGCTCTGTCCAGGGGCTTTATAAGCTGATCATGATGAATTCTTGATAACCTCATGGCATTTTCTTTATAACTAAAAGGCAAATACATAAAAATTAGATTTTATTTTTGTTTTTTACTAAAGGTGAGTTCAATATTATACAAGCCAAAACCCATAGCTATGTTGAGAAAAAGTTTATCTTGCATGAGATTAGCCAGTTGACCAGGATTTTAAGTCATAAAAGTGTATATGTGGAAGAGATATATTCTTAACACAGTGTGGTTTTTAGATATAGAAATGTATATGTAGAAAGAAATTAAATATTTAGTTGTAAATAGATAGCCTAATTTTCAATGAAAAAATTTGATATTATGTGAGCTATAGTGCTCAGGATTGTTTTAAGATGAAGAAGTAAATAAGCCAATATTATTAGATAGTGTTATTTAAGACATCAATATGCATGGCCACTAATATCTGACTAGATCAAATGACAAACATGGGGAGTTAGTCATCAACTTTAATGACTCATTTTACAGTGTTGAGATCATTGCAGTGCGGTAATCTTTCCTTTGTAAGCATTTGCATATTTGTGGTGAAAATGACAATATCTTTCCTGGCAATGTCAGGACTGAATGAAAACACTAAGAATTGGTAAATCCAAGCGCATGGAGTTCTTAAAACAAATAAAACTGTCTCCATAGAATTAGAGCCCCCCTAATCAACATGGCACCACAATAGCAAGAAATATTGTTAACAGCTCTAATGGTTTCTCAAAAAACACTGGGTAAAAATCTATGTATTTAAAAGGTAAGATATGTCTTCATTTAAGTTTCCTGATAGTTTAGCCAGAACTAGTAGGTTCCAGGTTGGTTTGTGCTAGCAGGACATAGTTAGGATTGGGGAAAGAGATGTGGTCATCATTCACAGGTGAATATGACCTAGACCAAGCAGCATGAGATTAACAACATGCACTCTTTGTGTATGTTGAAGAAGAGTCATCCTGCCATTCACCTGAAAGGTCAAGATAATAATAAAATATGGTCATTCTATTGCAGTTTAGACAAAGTGTAGTTGCTGTAAAAACTTTTTTCTGCAAATCAGATTTTTCTTAAGATTTTCAATTTTATAGAGAATTAAATTTTTGAATATACATAAATTTTATAGATAAATGTATACTCATGAATCTAGGTAAACTTTTTAATGAATAAGAATAATCAAGGACTGTGTTCATAAATATTTTATTTTATATTTTTATGAACTGTTTTATGACTATGATAAAATATTTTGAATAATCAGAATTACTAGGATTTATTTAATACTATGTAATCTTTTGTACTTCTTAATTGCTTTTGGGAAGAAGATAATGGAATACATTTGAATCCATATATATTCTCTACACTATACCACTCCTGTGGTTTTAGAAAATCTCAGAGGCAGTATTAAGTTGAGGATTAGCATGAAAATATTTTAATTAGATAACTTTTAATATTTACTTGGAAATTTCTGAGTATCTATGATTCTGTTTTCATGAGTCAATCATTATAAAATTAAATTAAAATAAATAGATATTCTATACATTAGAGGTAAAAAGAATTACAAAATCTATCAGCTTTCATGTTTAATAAAATGAGTGAAATTATCAGTAATTAACATCTTAGTAAGAAAGTAATTGATTAAACATCAAGATCAACATTTATAGGGAAAGAAATCATACTAAGAATTATTGAAGTTCCTAACCCTTAGCTGTCTCATAAATTATGATGCATATAAGATCCTGAAGATTTTTAATGATTCAGAAATAGCTATTACCTAATAGCAGTGTTTAACAACACTATTTGACACTGAGTATTAGTAGTTATTTTTGAATGTTTAATATTGGGAACATTATCACTTTCATTTTGCACTTAATAAATGGTTTATAATATTTAAATATTTTTATTCATAAAATCAAACAGACTATCCAGAAAAACAATGTAAGTGCTTCTATTAAAAACTGTGTTCATTGTGAAAAAATATTAGTAGATTATTTGAATGAAAACACTAAGAAGTGGTAAATCCAAGTGCATGGAGTTCTTAGAGCCCCCCTAATCAACATGGCACCACAATAGTAAGAATTATTGTTAAGAATTCTAATGTTTTTTTTTTATGTTGTTTTTGCTGCTGTTGTATTTTCACAGTTGGGAATGAAATAAAGGGTTTTATATTAGTCAAGCTACATTATTTGACTATAAGCCCACTTTGAAGTTTGAGGCAGTGGAACTTTTCTAAGATTACCAATAACATAATCAATGGCAGATAAGTCTTTGAATGTAGCAGTACTCACGAAGGGTCATTAATGACTGTTCTCAAAGCGCTGAGCAAGCTGCACTTGTCATTGTGTTGAAGTTCACCTCCACAGCTGCTCCTTTGGCCCTCCTGTGAGCCATGTTATCAGGTTGATCAGCAAACATGGGGATTCCCACCATAGGGATCCCATGATAAATAGCTTCATAGATCCCATTAGTTCCATCATGAGTGATAAAAGCTTTGGTTTTAGGATGACCTAGTTTGGGGATAGAGGGAGAAGTGGGTATGGATTTCAAGCTAACACATTAGCAAAATTTCAGAGATGGAAGCAACAAAAAGCTATAGCATATAAGTCACTGAAGAAGGCAACAGTTTTTTTTTTTTAAACAGAAGCTAACCACATAAGACAATGCTACCCTAGAAAACTGTGATCCCAGAAAGAAAATAAATTTTTTCATTGTCTGGGAAGGCATTATTAAGGTGGTGTTACCTGAGATGAGATTGAAATTTGAAATATGATGAGTCTTAACTGAGAATTAAGGGAAGCATGAATTTATGAAGTTAATGGCCAATTGTTTAATTACAGCTGCTTTAAAAATGGAATCAAATATGAAAATGTTTAGTTATTAAATATTTTTAAAGTGCACTTGCTGTTCTTTAACAGAAAGTTTATGTGACAACAAACTTACAAAGTAGTGACTTGACTTTTCGCTTATCCAATGATACAACTTTTCTTCCCCCACAGTCTTTCTGAAGGTCATTCTGAGGTAGCCAATCAAAAATTCGAGTATTGGCTCCTAATGTGGCTGGTTTCTTTCCTTGGTATCTCCATAATACCTGTGGAAGACAATGCTATCATGTTTCTAGTACACACAATGAGAGTGTGTTCAGTCTGTAGACTTATTTAGGAATCACATGCCTCCATACTACCAGTGATAGCTGAGTGAGGGGTACATAGAAGCAGTTTGCAGCTTGCAAATATTGAGGTACATACTGGGATTGTTCATGACTATCTTTAAAGACTTGTATTCAGATTCTATTAAGTATGGTATATTTTGAGGATTATTACTTTAAAACTGCTGAAAGTGATTCTTCAGAGAAATAGAATATGAACAGGACTAGTCTAATAAATCAGAATATGGAGGTTAAAAACATTGAGAGAAACAGAAATTCTGTGTAAACTATTTCATCCTACATGGTATGTTTCAAGAGTATTTTTTTTTCAAAAATGTAATTAGCTTTAGATTTTTGGTCTTTTTCTTTTTCTTTTTCTTTTCTTTTCTTTCTTTTTTTTTTGGTGATAGTATTTCCTTCTCCACCTTCCTTCCCGTCTCCCTCCTTCCTTCTCTCCTTTCTCCCCTCCCTTCCTCCCTTTCTCCCCAACACACTCTTTTTTTTTTTTTGAGGGAGGATTAGATAAGGATTTCTTTATATTCTACTTTTCAATAAAATATTTTATTAGGATATTAAACATTTTTGTACATATTTGTCTTTTGCTGGAAAAAGTAAATTTTTGGAGGTACTATAGGTTGAACCCAGGGGCACTCGATCACTAAGCCATATCCCCAACCCTATTTTTTTTTGTTTCCTAGCTCAAGGGTCTTTATTTTTTTTTTTATTGGTTGTTCAAAACATTACAAAGCTCATGATATATCATCTTTCATACATTTGACTCAATTGGGTTATGAACTCCCATTTTTACCCCAAATACGAATTGCAGAATCACATGAGTTACGCATTCACATTTTTACATAATGGCATATTAGTGACTTGTATTCTACTACCTTTCCTATCCCCTACTATCCTCCCTCCCCTCCCCTCCCATCGTTCCTCTCTACCTCATCTGATGCCCTTTAATAGATGAATGGGTAAAAAAATGTGGCATCTATACACAATGGAGTATTACACAGCACTAAAAAATGACAAAATCAGAATTTGCAGGGAAATGAATGGCATTAGAGCAGATTATGCTAAGCGAAGCTAGCCAATCCTTAAAAAACAAATGCCAAATGTCTTCTTTGATATAAAGAGAGCAACTAAGAACAGAACAGGGAGGAAGAGCATGAGGAAAAGATTAACATTAAACAAAGACGAGTGGGGGGAGAGAAAGGGAGAGAGAAGGGAAAGCATATGGAAATGGTAGGAGACCCTCAATGTTACACAAGGGAGAGAATTACCCAACCCTATTTTGAATTTTACTTAGACACAGGGTCTCACTCAGTTGCTTAGTCCCTCACTAAATTGCTGAGGCTGGCTTTGAACTAGAAATCCTCCCGGTCTCTGGGATTACAGGTATGCACCACCATACCTGCCAGAAAAGGCAAATTTTTAGAGACAGGTATAGAAATGGAAACTGGAAGTTCTATTATGCCAAATTAGCATAGTTACC